TAACATGTTTAATGGAAGATTTTGTTGTGGGCCATCCAACTTATGTGGAATTTGCCATTTCACACCGCAAAAATCCATAATTGTCGGGTCCATTGTAGAAGCACACTTCTTTGCTCAAGCCACCGCAAGAGTATGAAAATTCATTTATGTCCTCTATTAAAGTAGTGTCCACATGTCAGTTTCCTTTTCTTCATGCACCGCATTCATCTCCCTCTCTCGCTTCTCTACCAATGTCATTGCGAGAGGTGTGCATGAGTGTGAAGAGGTATGGGTTGCGAGGGCAGAGTTTGACGTGGAAATCCATAGCAAGGCTGAGGTCAGGGGCAAGGTGGACGAGACTATTCACCAAAATGTTCCTAGATGGGTCATAACTCATAAGTAGGTTGTGATCTCTTCTGTATCGGTGCCAGTGGTTTATAGCAGAACAAGTTTTGTAGCTAGCTCCTTGGCAGCAGGGGTAAGCGGTGAGCGAACTACGAGGATGGAGGTATGGGGAGATCAGGATCGACATCTAGGACTAGAATAGGTGCAAGAGAGTTGGTTAGTGGAGAACAATAGAGACAAGCAAGCAGTAACGGCATTGGATAGACATTTGGGTCACTTGAAATTTTTGTGTCGAGTAATTCGAGTTTTAAAATTAGGATTTTGAAATTTCCCCGTGATTTACCAAACAAATCAAAACTCAAAAGTTTGGGGACCCTTTTCGAGTTTGGTTTTCGGGTAATCCTGAATTACCTTGAAAAGAAAAAAATAGCATCCTCCTGCGCCTGTCGCCAGCAATAGTTGGTAGCCATGCCACTGGGCTCAATTACCACCGCAGCGCCACCCCTCCTCTTGAGCATCCGCTCACTTTGGACCCACGCTAATCGACAACATTTGGGAGAAGTCAAGAAGAAGGGATTTTAAGTTGTCTCTCAGTGTCTGGCATGGAGTGTCGAGGAAGAGGAGTGTGACCATTGACTTCTCTTTGATCCTGGCATGGAAGAAGAGGAGTGTGGGATAGCCGTCGGCATCGCAAAAGAGGTCGAAGATCGGGGCCCTTCGATGGCGCCAAGGGCCTGGGAAAGCTCCTGTACGATGGTGCGATGGAGGCGGTGGAGAGCACGAGGTCGTGTGGCCTTGGTGATGTTCGTTGGCGTGGTGGGATGTTGCGTCGTTGTTTGCTGGGATCCTTTAGGTGGAGGCGAGCAGTGAGGGTAAAGCCAACTCTATGATTGTGCAGGTGTAAGAGTGCGACTAGGGTAGGGTGTCGAGTGAATCAGTCACATAAAACGGGTTTGAAGGCATCGACCCCGACCCGGGTACGCAGGGCCATTTTTGACTCGCATTGCAAAAATGTCACGCAAGTAGCGTACCACGTTCCTTGACCCTGTACCTCGACCTCGTCGACTCGGAAACTTGGTGAATTAGGTAGGCTACACTATACGTGGGGGCTTGGGCATTGGGCGAGGCTGATGCTAGAGGGCCCAATCAATTTTGGATAAAATGGATAAATCGGATAGCGAGCCTTAATACTTGAACTACTTAAAATAAAATCAGTTTTTTCGGCTATGGCCAATTCAAGTTTGGGTATTGGGTTCTATGCCCACCTGTAGCATAGGAGGCCGAGGAAGTTGCAGTGGCGAAGCGTGCGAAGCGGGAGGAAATGTTGCAGCATGGAGAGGAGGGCTAAGAGGTGTAGTGGTCTAGCCTTGATGGCAGGAGTAGCGAGGAAAGGGAGGGCTTAAGGTCTGTTAGCGTGCTTTTTCTCCCTCTTTATCCGCTCGTGCCAGATGCCCAAACAACCGAGGGGAAGGTTGCTCGATGGGAGATGCGACCTAGGGGAGGACAACCGTCAAGGAGGCGAGTCCAGTGGTATGGCTCTCGATTGGCGGAGGGGATGTGAGCTCGGCACGGGAGGCGCTTCTGGAAAAGGAGCCGACAGGGGAGGGCAACATGGAGGGGAGGAACCTCAGGTGGGAAGAGACCCTAGTAGAAAGCCATCGGCGAGGTCGGGTGCCCCCTATGTTTCCTCACGCGGGCGAGCTCGACTCGAGTGAGAGAAAAGCTAGCCAATTAGGGGAATCAGATGAAAAGGGCTCGGTGATGGCAAATACAACTGTAGATGGGCGCGAAGTGGTAGTGAATAGTGCCGACTACGATGGTCAAGCGGGCGAATCGCGACAAAGGCCCATCGTGGGGAGACGTCAATGTTCAAAAAGGCGCTCGCCTAGGCTCGCCTGGGCGCGCTTCAACGCTAGGCGGAGGGGCACCGCCTCGCCTAAGGGTGTAGGCGGAGGTTAGGCGGTGTGTTCCCAGATCCAGGGTTGCAGGAGGGTCGACGGGAGGCGGCGAGCGCGCCAGGAGGCTAAAGGCGGGCGTGGGGGCGGCGAGGAGGTCGAGCGACGATGGGGAAGGAGCTACGTGAGGCAGCGGTGGCCGGTGGGAAGAGCGGTGGCGGTGGGCAGATCCGCCAAGGCAGGGACGCGTGGGCGGCGTTGGGGGAGGAGGTAACGTCGGCGGGGGTGGCGACGACCGGTGGGGAAGTAGGCGACGTCGAGCGCTGGTGGCGGCGCGGGCAGAGTTCGGGAGGGAGAGAGACGGGAACAGAGAGGCTGTGAGCGGAGGGGAGGGGATAAGATGACTGTGGGAGAGTTGGGCCCTTAAATGGACCTTCTTTTTCTTTTCTTTTAAGTATTTATGCATGTATTAGCCATCGCCTAGAAAAACGCCTTGAAACGCCTAGGCTAGGCTAGGCTCGCCTAGGCTCTAGGCCGTGGGTCGTCGCCTAGAAACCGCCTAGCGCCTTCTTGAACTTTGGGAGACGTCCTCTGTGATGTGGAAAAGCGTCGAAATCGGTCAATGAGGGTGACAGGAGTCTGGATCCAGGGTGGTCGGGCTTAGGGTGGAGGTCGATGGGCGGTGTTCTTGCTTGGGCATAGAACAACAGGAGTCGAGTTGATGGTGGTTGGAAAAAAACAACAGAAAAGTACGGTACTCCTACTTGACTCCTAGGAGAAGGGTGTAGGTAGGGAATTTTGGGGTGGGGTTTGCTTGAGAAACAAAAGGCTCCATCAATCTAGCATTGTCAAGGGGTTGACATTTGGCATTATAACTTGTTTTTTCAAAATTATATTGAACTTTTTCATGATTGTTATCAATGGTTGGAAGAATTTGATATTAGCTTAACTATTGAGATAACACCAATTGCTTCACCATGGCTGCCTTTAGTACTCATTAGGTTTGGCGTACACGATAGATCTTGGTGCAAGGAGTGGTAGAGAAGGAGAATTGCTTGGCCAACATAGATTTTGAAGAGAGAAAGAATAAGAAAGGTGGGCCCTAATGCCACTTGTAGTCCACATTGGTGTAAACCACTTTTGAAACCAGGTAGAGGGCCAAATTTGTTCGGCATCGGTAGTACAATGGTCAATCAACAATAGTCACTAGTGTTTAGTTGGAGGGCCAAAATCGACGTCGATAGTTCTATGTTGGATCATGAACTTGCTCCTTTTGCCTACAGTAGGTTATGATGTTATCAATTGCTACATAAAATTAAATTGAAAACTCAAGTCATAGGGTGGAGAGAAAAATAAGAATTGATATATTTGGAAATTAGAAGCTTGGTTTTGGGGCCAAAATTATTGTACATCACTAGTTTCCAAAAATTATACTTGCTACAAGCCTTTCTCTCTCCCTCACCCTATTACTCTAGGTCGAGTGAGTTATTTAGAGCCTATTTAAATTCAGTGATTCACCCGTCTAAATTGTAGACCTCAAAACTTTAGAGCTAAAGCCTCCAAACAGGTGGTGTAAATTTAGCTCCAAACTTTAGCCCACCTCACATTAGAGCTTTAGAGCTCAAAAGTGAGCTAAAGTGCCCTAAAGTTTTTAGAGCTCTTAGAGAAGGGGATCCAAATAGGCCTTTATTTGATGGAAGCCCTTGCAACCTTGGTTGTCGTGGCGTCACTTATCGTATGACTTGAGCATCATTGTTTTATGCATGCTGAAGGGCTACACTAAGTGATGAAATGGCGGAAGCAAAATGAGTTCCCAAAGAACAGTGTCACCCTTATCCTTGGCCTCATCTTTGGCATTCAAGAAGATGTAATGATGGAGTTTGATTTACTGATGTGTCGTAGAGGCATCGTAAAGCATGAGCGACATGAATGGGTAGGGTTTATCAAGGGTGATATGTGTAATTTAATATGTGATGAGAAGTTGGGTCTCCTCATGACAGGAGCAACCGGAGTTCACACAATTTTTGGCTGCCTCTAGTTCAAGGACCTCATGGGCATGAGAATGCTAGTCTCTCTGTTTTTTGTTGCTCCTCGGTAGTTGAGAATTGATAGAGGTTCATTTAGCATTTATCCAAACAACATTTTTGCAAGAGCTAATTACAATTGTATTTTTCTAGACTAGAATTTACAACCACATGCAACTTGTTGGTGTAAAAGATCACAAATCATGCAAACATAACCTTAGGTTGTTGGGTGGAATTTCGCTGAAGGGGCTTAGGCAAACGAAGTGAATTGTTGTGGTTAGTAGAACAAAAATTTTCCTTCTATAAAATTGTCCCATAAATATGATTGCATTAGGTGATTTATAACTTCTACACATGTTAGGGACCTATATGGGGTTTTGAGTTTTGGAGTTGCATGAACTTTGATGGAGTTGAATGTTATGAATAACTTGTTTTGTGGACATTAACATGAGACTTGATCCCAAGAACAAATTACTTTTGGTCTTGCACTGACATGTTCTTCACTCATCGTCATGTATGTTTTGTTTGTAGCATCCATAAGCCAATCTTGTACAATCCCTATGTTTTTGTTGCTTTGGGACTGCACAATGGTTTCCATTTATATGATTACCTTTCATGTAATCTAGGGAATAACTCGTCACTTCCTGTGTGACCATGATTTGTTCTTTTTGTAGTTGTTGCTTGGATGCATTTGTTTTGAATATTGAATTTTGTTTCATTGCTTGTAGTTGGAGCTGATTTAAGTCGTTAGAAAACGATGAATAGTCCAAGGAAACCTAATTCATCCTATTTTGGCCCGAGGCGACGCATGTCAACTAGATTGAAGGTGGCAAATGGATTGTCTTTGAGGAAACCTGAAGATAGGTTTAGATCGAAGCCTATGATGAAAATGCATAAAGAATGCCAAAAACATCGGGCAGATATGAAATGCATGAATCTATCCAAGAGCAATCACGTGTATGATCGGCGAGTGAATGTTGTGACAGAAGGAGCCAACACAATTTCTCCCAACGATACCAACATTGGGCCATCAAGTGCTTTAGTAGCAAAGAATAGCAAATCAGGATATGTGCTAGCCTCAAAGCATGCAAGCCAACCTACTACATTGAGGCTAGAGAATAACTTGAATCCTTCATCGGATGTCAAGTGTTCTAAGCCCTCTAGGAACGCACTTCCTTTGAAAATACCAAAGGCTTCTGCCTCTTGGAAGTCAAAGGATGACTCAAATGCCATAGCGAGACATCTAGAGCAATCTCACCATATAAAGACATCTAGAGCAATCTCATGTCGAACTCACTTGAAGGCGATGCCAAATTTGATTCACAAGGCAAAGAATGTTGCTACCTCAAATCTAAACAATGGTGACTTGGGTTCAAGGCGAAGGGGCCAGTCGAATTCATATAAAGGAGAAGACATCAATGTTGGGAAGGAAGGCACTAAAACTTTAGAGCCCTTGAAAAGTGGAGAAGTCTCAAGAAAATCAAACACCCCAGTGGTAAATCGGATGGATCCTAACAAAGATGAGCCAAACAAAGTGAAGGGAAGCCAAGATGAAGTTGTCCCCAAAGAAGAGGGAATGAAAGGTCATACATGTGAAGTCCGTGTGGCGCGTGGCAATCGACATAAGCAGACGAACACCACAAAGACAAATGATGCTCCAAATTTTAGTTCATTGTTAGTTGAGAAGAAACACATGCAAGGTCTTGGGAGTAATTTGAGAGATAATTCATCCCATTTGTTTGGAAAGAATCATTGCGGACACCAAAGGGACGATCAGTTCATTGAAGTTAACAGTGGTGCAACATTTTCTTCCAAACATGTTCTCTCATGTGAGTATAGAGAACCAAACTTGAAGTTGCCTAATAGTGTCCAATCAGTTGGAGGCAATGGGAAAACCAATGACGTCATATCTAGGAGGAGGAAACGGCCATTGTTAGAAGAAAAGGCTAGTACACATGTGCAAAAAGATCTTACTTGTAGACCAATGAAGAGGCGGAGATACATAGAAGCCAACGAAGATGAAGAAGGTAATGTCGGCAACCAGCATCCGGTGCATATTGAAGATGTTGAGCGGCAATGCTATTGTTGCTCGAAGCCTATTGACATACCGAGATGGAGGTACAGTAGATATGGAGTTTTCATTTTTTCGTTCTGAAATGCTATAGTCTTCATATGCTAATGTTTCTTTTCTTCTTTTCTATAAATAGTGGACTCTTTAAGATAGATGGAAAGGAATACATATCATTGGCTGGACATTTGTCATCCAAATCTTGCGAGAAAGTGTGGAAATTGTCATCATTGCCGAAGGTGGTTCAAGTGACAAAGGTTCCTAGAATGGCAGCATGGCCTAAGATATTTAAAGCATCAAAACCCACTGATGACAATATTGGCCTATATTTCTTCCCTCCTGAAATGAGGTGCCTTGCTTAGCCTTTGTATTTCTTTCCATTACTTGTACTATCATTTCCTTGTGTATAAATGTCTAATCATCTTATATTCCTCCCTAGGCATGATGAAGAACTAGATCAACTGATTAATGAAGTCATGGATAAAGATTTGATCTTGCGAGCTGTTATTGGTGAAGCTGAGATGTTGATATTCCCGTCTGTTCTACTGCCTGAAAGATATCAAAGTATGTGCTTTCTTTTGTAAAAATCTGGCCTCTTCTTGTAATACACAACATATCTAGTAATTTCCTATTTCATCAATCAATTTGAAGCAGAACTAATTATTAGATTATTGTATGCTGCTATTACATTGTACTGTTTAATATAATTGCAGCATTCCAAAGAAAAAACTACCTATGGGCAACGTTCAAAGCAAAAGAGGATAAAGGTGATGTAATTGTAGAACAGGAGCATGAGAAGGAAAAACATGTTTCAAACCAGCTAGATGAGGTACAATCTGAGGAACCAGATCAACAAATGATTTTGATGAAAAGTGCCATGTTTTTGGAGAACCAGCAGTTTCCTGCTAAGAGCATTCAAGAAGTTGAAGCTTGCTGTGTTCAAAGGCCCACCAATATGTGGCTTGAACATGAATCTCCTGAAGAAAGAAGACTCAGAGACTCATCGCATCGAGCTGGCTGCACCACTGCAACATCTACTGCAGTTGCTAATGCTGCTACAGTTCCCACTGAAGCTACTTCGTTTACTACTGATAATGCTTCATTTCCTGCAAATCATGGACTGATCCGTCCAAGCATGGAAGTTCCCCCTCAAACCAGTAGTGTCTTTGGTATTGTTGTCAGACAAGCTCCAAATCTTGAACCGGAAGTCAAGCAATTTATCCAGGAGATGGAACGCAAAGGTGCATTGGTCACTGTTATGAGGGGGAAGGCAATTGGTGGAGACCCATGGCCAAGCAACGTCACGACCACTATGCAGTAGTTGTAGAGAGAGTAGAGTAAACCATGTCAAACTGCAGTTGTTGTAGGGAGAGTAGAGAGATTAGGGAGTACTCCATGAGTCTGACAACAATGTGATTGCTACGTAGAGCTGTTACTAGTGAAGCAACTTGTTCAGTTTTTTGTAAGGTGCCTGCTAGGGATGAAAACGGTACGGATATTTTCCGACCGTATTCGAAACCGAATCCGTTTAGAGGGGTTGAGATCTGTCCGTATCCGAGTCCGGATATCTAACATTCGATACCGTATCCGTATCCGAATACTCAAATCGCATATTTATGATGTCGATATCCAATCGTATCCTATCCGATACAGTTGACACTATCCGTATTCGAATCCGAATCCGGACAGAAATATGAAAACAAATGTAATATCGATGATATCCGTCCGTATCCGATCCGTTTTCATCCCTAGTGTCTGCTTAAAGGACATCTGCTTGCAAGGTTCAGGTGCATGTAGTGGCGTTATTATAGTCACGCAGGTTTGGTCATGAGTATATGAGATGTGACTTCGGCACTACTACTTGGGAGGAGAAAGATATTAGTTTGGAAGGTCAAGTAGTGCTTAGTAATGATACTTTTTGATATTTAGGATCAATGCTACAGAGAGACGGGGATATTGATGAAGATGTTAGCCATAAAATCAAAGCAGGGTGAATGAAGTGGCGTCAAGTATATGGTGTCCTATGTGACAAAAGGGTACCATAGAAACTAAAAGGCAAGTTTTATAGGACAGTGATTAGACATGTTATGTTATATGGTGCAGAATGTTGGTTTACGAAAAGACGACATGTTCAATAGATAAGTGTCGTGGAAATGCGTATATTGTGTTGGATTTACGGTCATACAAGAAGGGATCGAGTTCGGAGCGATGATATACGTGATAGATTAGGGGTAGCACCAATTGAAGAAAAGCTTGTCTAACACCGGTTGAGATGGTTTGGACATATCTAAAGGAGACCTCTAGAGGCACCGGTGCGTAGTGGAATCCTAAGCCAGGATAGTAACATGAAGAGAGACAGAGGAAGACCGAAATTGACTTGGGTAGAGATAATAAAAGAAGACTTAAAATGATGGAATATATCCAAAGACTTAACCTTAGATAAGAGTGCTTAGAAAATAGCTATTCACGTGTCTGAACTTTGATTGTTTTGTTGGGTTTTAACTCTAGTCTACCCTAACTTGTTTAAGACTTAAAGACTTTGTTGATGTTGTTGTAAGACATGCCTTAGCACCTGTTTTCTGAATGCTTGTCATTTCCCCAGTTGCAGTTATGTGTACGTGGCATCTGAATTCTGATTGCTTTCTCGTCTCTTGTAATATTGCTTCAACCTGCATACAATACTCAAAAGATGCTTGGCTTTTATATAGCTTCCAATCCAATTGCTACCTAAAGTTACTGCTCCCGTTGCAATTGTGGGTATGTTCGTTCTTGCTCTGACGAAGATGAAAGTCAACTACTACAGGTTAGTTGCTTCCTTCCTTCTGTAGCTGATGCTGATATTTACTGGAAGTTTGAATCAGATCTCTCAATGATTGGATGCTGAGTGTATGTTGTTTATGCTGATGTCATTATTTGTTTCACCTTGGTTTACCTCACCTCAGCCTTTAGATCTCTAATAATGGTCAGACAAGTGACTCGTTTGGACTTTTAATAAACATTGTCATGGCCTATTCGCTGATTGGTTTCTGGGCTGGTTTGGGTTAGCTGGTGCTGGTTTATTGTGAGAGAAAAACATTGTTGGCTAGCTGGTTTTGGCTGGCTGAAACCAACAAGCGAATAGGCTGATATTCGGTACAAATTCTCTTGCCTTCAGGCTGCGGCAGTTCGTTTTGCCTTTAGTCAGTATTGTTTTCCTCTGAAATGATGTCCCAATTTTCGATCAATGGGGTTGAATCTCTAACATACCAGCAGTTCCTGCTACCAGGTAAGAGATATATATCTTGTAGATATAGATCATCTTGTATGCGTAAACTAACTGTATCAGATCTCCATGCTTCGAGGATCTGATCGATATATATCTTTTCAGCCTTTTTTTTTCTGACGATGAAATCAATATCTATCATTATGGCTATTTCGAAAGAAAAAGAGAACCTGCTTCCACCAGGCTTAAGATTTAACTCATAGAATGGTTAATGCAAGTCATGGAATCGTACTGAAAAGTGAAAACCCCTTCTAAGGCCGCTGGGCATGGAACCTCAGCTCTCCTGAAAACCCAAAACTCCAACCTGAAATCTAGCGTCCTACTGTCGCCACTTCATTCACTTCCCTTGGCCTACGTATACGCCCAGCTACGTGAGTGTATGATGTGAATTGATCCATCCCAAATTCCGAACGTCCTGCCCCAAGCACTCTAAATAATTAATTAATAACTCAAGTCAATACCTTAAAATAACTCACCGCAGTGGCATAGTACTTGTGGGTCGGGCAGAAAAACGTTGTCGCTAGCACTGCACTCTACTTTAGTCTCTTTTTTTTTTAAAAAAAATAAACATGAGAGAAGGCAACATAGAATGCTTATAACCAATAAATTATCCTAGAAATATGTTTAAATATGCAAATAGATCTACTTTTAGTGTCTAATAATGTAGTAGTGCCACAAAAAAATGGTATAAGGCCAAATAGAGTCAAAATAAAACCAAATTTAGTTAATTGAATATTTTTGGTTAAATAGGCCGGCTTCGGTTGATACTTTCCCGGAATTATTAAGGCATTGTTTAGATTTTGAATAATATATAATTTGCAGTATGAAATAGAATGATAATAATCTGGTTAATTGATTATAATAACATGGTTTGTTTGAAAACTTATATTATTATTGGTTCAACAATAATCTCTGATCCTACATTAAATGTGGATTATAGTTTTGTTATAATATATTTATTGGATTATAATAATCTACGTTGTTTAATCATTTAAGGCTTTGTTTTTTTCCCAAACCAAGAGAGTTGGAGAGGATTGGACAAGATTAAGGGGAGATTTGTACTTGTAGAGGATTAAATCTCCTTCAGTCTCCTCTATCTTCTTGTTTTGGAACGAAATGAACAAGCCTAAAAGATTAGTACTCCCACTGTCCTAAATTATAATTTGTTTCAACTTTCGTGGAGCCAAAGCATCTCAAATTTAACTAACATTTATGATACCAAATATATATCATTAGATTAGATTCATTGTTAATTATATTTTTGTAGTATACCTATTTGATATCATAAATTTTTACAATTATTTCTATAATTTAGGTCAAATTTGAGATATTTTAACTTTAAAAAAAATTAAAATAATTTATAATTTAGGACCGAGGGATATTTTTTTCTCTAAAATGCCTTTAGTCGAGGCGACGTGCTGTTCCAATTTCAATCTAAACGGGGCAGCGGACTTTTACTGTGCGGCAGCTAGCGTCCACGGACATTAATAGCTGCCGTGCTCCAAGTCCAGCAGCCCAGCCATGTGCCATAGCGTGCCATGTTGGACACGTCAGTGGTCGGCGCTGCGGCACCAAAACCCTGTCTGAATCTGGCTGGTCAACAAATTGGAATGCAGCTCCAAAACCCGGTCTCCGGGTCCGCGTCAACAAATAGGAATAAATAACAGCACCCCACAACATTGATGGCCTGACCCTATAAATTTGGTTAAATGAAAAAAATAGCTTATCTAAAACCTAAAATTGTTTTTAGACCTATGGGGTAGTTTTTTCTATTACCTACATAATAATAATAATAAAGAGACAAAATTTCTGGTCATTTTTTTGTCCATTTATTTTTTTCGTCCACATCGCCATAACTACCGGTAGTCGAGAGTTTCTTCCATCCAAACATATATATAATAACCCATGCTTATACGAGGTTAGAGTAGCTCTTGTCTAACGAGTCTGATTCTGTAACACCTCAGGTGTTAGCCACTTGCTAAGCAGTGGGTTTGAGCTCAAACATGACAGATCAAGAGGTAATCAGGAGCTTTAGTTTCTGTAACACCCTCGATGTTACATTGTATTGTTTTTGCTTAAACGCTGCATGAGCATCATACTTATGTGCAATAGTGTGTAACATGGAGTGTAAATCAATGTTCGGCACTTGAAACGTTTATCCGAAACCAGAAACAAATGTTACGTTTCATGTTGTTTAGTATTCTAAGTGAATTTTTATCGAACAAAAATACTATAGCACGTTTATGCGAACTTTGATAGGGTTTGTAGTACGTACTTCGTAGGTGACGATGAAATAGGTGTGGTCGAGGACGAGGTTCGCTAGCTAGTATACCCAGTAGGTCAGAATTGGAATTCGACGCGAAGCCGTTCGAAGTTTAAGTCATTTCGCGTAAGTTTGAAAAGGGGTCGACGAAGCCATGTTCGTCAATTTATGTAGAACGATCGGGTTTGGTAGTGGCGAGGTGTCTTGGCTTAGTTCGATAGTCCTATGTACCCTCTTGGCTGTTGAACAATTGGTTTGGCGTTTGGAGCATCGGACTTGAGTTTTTGAGCTGCTTTAAAAAGCGTGTAGGTCACACATCTGTGTGCAGAGCCGCTGCTGACCGCGGTCACCACTTGTCTCGGTCTGGCACCGCTGTTGGCCGCCCAGTGCACTGCCGCGCCGGCCGCGTCCTCGCTATCGCCCCTACAAGCTCGCCGAGCGTGTGGTCCTTGCGTTGCAGGCCACGGCCGCCTACCACCACGCTACCGGGCGCGCAGCTTAGCACCACCATTGCTGCGCGTGCCGCCGTCTCGGGCGCTTTGCCTCGCCACTGCTCACGCACGCACGGTTGGTTGCGCCACGGTGCCGCGCTTCATACGCATACCGCCATTGCTTGCCGACGACACCATGCACACACGCATTTCGCCTCGCGCTAGTGGACCGGCCGCTTCTGCGATCGCTTTCGCGTCGCCGCTCGGCCGCCTTCGCGCCGTCCATCGCCACGCGCGGCACTACTTCCGTTGACCCGCCACAGCTGTGTGCACGTGGGACAGCTGCACACTTCGCCAGTGCGTCC